GGTGCATAGGTGCATATTGTATTATACACATACAAACAATTTTTATATCTGTATAATCAGTTTTCATAAACCAATCCTTGAAATCTACTCACCACATTATTTGGAATATTGTTTACTATTTATATTATTTTGCATTTCTTTAGGAGCCCATTAGTGGATAAGCAATCTTCAAAGGTACAAAATGTGCATGTATTTTTTTAAAACTTGTTGAAATATTAGTAAAAACTGATTAGAGATTCCAATTTTGTGTTTCAGAGCTCTGCTCGATTTCACAACATAGCAGTTGGTAACATTATCTGGGAAGAAAAAAGGGCATAAGTAGAGGAACTAATGATTCAGTCATCTATAAATATCTAGGAGGTGATAGGAAGAAAAACATCAAGGGCCAAACTTATTTTGTAACAATACTAACAGCTAGTTTCAGTTTACATATGAATATTTCATCCTGTTTCAAATCAAATGTCCATTATTGCAAAACCTACTCTACAGGTTGGACTTCCCTGGTCTGGCACCCTCAAAACTTGATCGGTCCTGAATGAGGGAATTTGACAGACCAGGAGAAGTTTCCTGCCACCGGCCTTCCACCAGCTCAACTTCTGGCCTTGGCTGACCCCCACCCTATCCCAGGCTCCCGGCAGTGTCACTGGACCCCCACTTCCCGGCCATGGGGGCAGTTCCTCTACCCTAGGCCTTTCTAGTCCGGGAACATCTGTGATCTTCCGGACCAGAGATTCATGGTTTAGGGAGGCACAACCTGTATTACTATATTAAGAAAGGTAGAAGGGCTTTTAATTACATGGCTGCATCTAGACTGGCATGATTTTGCAGAAATACTTTTAACGGAAAAGTTTTTCTGTTAAAAGTATTTCTGCAAAAGAGCATCTAGATTGGCACAGATGCTTTTGCGCAAAAAGTGATTTTATCTGTGCCCAGTATAGACACGCTTTTGCACAAAAAAACTCTGATGGCCGTTTTAGCCATCGGGCTTTCTTGAGCAAAAAATTAAGGTGCCTGTCTACACTGGCCCTCTTGCGCAAGTATTCTTGCACAAGAGGGCTTATCCCTGAGCGGGAGCATCAAAGTATTTGTGCAAGAAGCACTGAATTCTTACATTAGAACGTCAGTGCTCTTGTGCAAATTCAAGCAGCCAGTGTAGACAGCTGGCAAGTTTTTGCGCAAAAGCATTTGCTTTTGCACAAAATCTTGCCAGTCTAGATGCGCCCCATATGTGTATTCAGATGTCACATTACCCCAGGAATGTGGCTGTATCAGTTCTTACTTTTGCCAGTATATAATTCAATTGTATACTGGCAAAAGTAAGAACTGATACAGCCAAATGTAACCTCTGGCCCCTGGAAGCTCTTCAGCTTTCCTGTAGATATCCAGAGTACCGTCTACACAAAGGTGTATGTGTTTGTGGAAGAAGAGGAGGAATGCCCCGCTTTTTGTGAGTGCAGAATATCTTGCTAGACAGTCTTCTGCCTTGTCTTTCTAATTTGTCTGACTCCACACAATCCAATTGGCATATTTAGCATGGACTCCTATGTTTACAATGCTCAGGTGTTGCTTAGCTGCTCACATTAAGAAACAGTTTAAAAGGACTGTGGCTTTACTTTATCAGGTGGACCCTAGCTGGCAGCTCCATTACATTCAGACTAGCCTGATGAACGTCCCTTATAGATTTCTCTAAGATAATGCCTTGCACCTAATAAAAGCAAGTGGGGTGTGGAATGAAAGGAGTGGTAAACAAGCTGTCACTCAGTAAGCACTGCCACCAAGAAGAGAGCCCCTTCACAGCAATGATTTAGAAAGGGTAACGCCTCCATAAAAGAAAGACTGGCTCCCAAAGCTTTCCATATAATAGTTGCTCAGTCCTCACACTGGGAAACAGAGAAAAGACTTAAAGATACAAGAGAGAGCAGAAATGGGATCCTTCCACAAAGTTCCCATCTAAATATCAGATATCACTGAGTAAGGAGGTATTCACATCTGAGGGGTGGACCTGCCCTTTTATGATACGAAGAGAAGTTTGCAAAATGCACAAGCATATTTAAGTTTGAATTTAAAATATCTCAAGTTCAGAAATGTATCAGGGTCACATATGAAAGAGAGAAAGATTATTCTAGACAGAGGAAAAACCTCTCCGGATTTGTGAAGCATGGAAGGCAGTGAACTGCTTCATGAGCATAAAAGGGTATCACAAGGAGGAGGGAGACAAATTGTTCTCCTTGGCTCTGAGGATAGGACAAGAAGCAATGGGCTTAAACTGCAGCAAGGGAGGGTTAGGTTGGACATTAAGAAAAATGTCCTAACTGTCAGGGTGGTTAGATACTGGAATAATTTGCCTAGGGAGGTTGTGGAATCTCCATCTCTGGAGATATTTAAGAGCAGGTTAGACAGACACCTGTCAGGGGTAGTCTAGAGGGTACTAGGTCCTGCAGTGAAGGCAGAGGACCAGACTTGATGACCTCTCAAGGTCCCTTCCAGTTCTAGTGTTCTATGATTCTATGATTCTAGTGTTCTATATATCTCCTCCCCTTGTCACCTCTATGACTGAGAGGAGTATGCGTATTTTGCCCTTCAAAGGCAGTCAGATAACTGCCTCTGGGGAGGATTGCCAGCTACATTTCTAGCATCAACAGCTTCCTGGAGCTTCTTTAACTCTAAAGGTTATAGATCAGGTAATAAATAGTGGGTGGTATAATGCAGGAGATCTCTTGCAGTTAAAGAAAAAAGATTCAGAAGTAACCTGAGGCATCCAGAAATAATATGGAGTAAATCAAGCATCAATATGTAATAAAGAGCTGAATAATAAACAATGTTAAGATTATGTAAAATCAAGATTTTGAGTAAACAAGTTTAGCGGTGAAGAAAATAGAAGTGATGATAAGAACAACTCAAAACCGTTTAGATATTTTCAAGAAAAATAGTGGCATAAGGAGCTATGAAGCTAAATTTTAACTGCAGTCTAAGGTATTGTGAACTTGTCTGAACAACACTGAAGATGTTCAGTTGAATATTCTGTGTGTTGTGCAGTCCTGTGCATTATGAAATTAAAAATACATCACACTGGCTGTCCCTAACATCTTTGCAATTGCTTTGTGCAATTAACATTACCACAGTCTTCAAAGTATCCCAAGAAGGATCTGGACTTCTAACACTCCAGTCATCTGAAGAAGTGGGTTGTGCCCATGAAAGCTCATGATACCATATACATGTGTTGTTAGTCTTTAAGATGCTGCTAGTCTATTTGTTGTTGGGGTTTTTTTTAAGTTTTTCCTGTTACAGACGAACTCGGTGACCCCTCTGAATATTATTTCAGAATGACATCAGTTATTCAGAAATAACACTGCTGTGGAGTCTTTCTGAATGGTTCAGGAGAAGGCTGGACATTGAAGAGCACGTGTTTTGGGGAAAATCAGGACTGGGAGGGGGATTTTGGGGTCATCTTACCAGGTATAATCAAGGATGAGACCACAGTGTGTGGTAGGAGTGTAACAGGCAAACTGCTGGAATTAGAATTGCTGACTCAGAACTGCTTAATACACAGCCACTTGGTGTATGTGTACGTGCTGGCTGGGAGCATCAAGACAAAAGTGTCTCAAAATGTTCTGACAACGTCACAGGCAATGATACAAAGCCTTAGGGAGTGTCTAGACTACAGGGGTTTTTCAAAAAAAGTAGCCTTTTTTCAAAAAAACTTAGCCTGCGTCTAGACTGCAGCCGCGCTCTTTCGAAAGTAAATTGAAAGAATGCAGCAGTTTTTTCAATCGCGGTAAACCTCATTTTACGAGGAACATCTTTTTTCGAAAGTACTCTTTCAAAAAAATGGTGCTATTGAATGCAAACTGTGCTTTTTCAAAAGAGAGCATCTAGACTCTCTTTCGAAAAAACGGCTTGCTTTTTCGAAAAATCTGCTTGTAGTTTAGATGCTCTCTTTTGAAAGAGGCTTGTAGTCTAGACATAGCCTTACTGGCATGGACTGTACTTCAAGAAGATGTAGCAATTGGAAATGAGATGGATAACCACTCATGTTCCTGCATACCACCATTTGGGGAACCTTTGCCCTGGTACTACAGTAACACTGGTAAGATAGAATATGCAAGTTACATAATTAAACACTGATGTCTGTAACTTTTACCCACTGATTTGCAGAAATAGTCCAGATCACTTTAATCTAAACCACATGCAATATGAAACCAGGATAAAAAGGTGAAAATTAGTATATCTGAATATATATTATACATTTCCTCTGAGTTATAAATCAGTGAATGGATTCAGTTTACACTTTCTTCAGCATGCTGTTGGTCACTACTTCAGACCAAAATTTTGTTGTTTAGATACTCAAATTGACTTCATTTAGAATTGTGTATAAAAGAAATATGGTATCCAGCTCTCACCGTACAGAATACTGGCTTCAGCTCTATATAATACATGCAGTGGAGTCATAGTAAGGACTGAGATTTCTTTGGGCCTTGTCAGCCTCTGTGCACCACAAAACAAAACTGAAGGAGTAGACACTGACACACATGAAGGGACATTTTTCATGTGTCTTGTTAGCCAATCAGATAATAGTTAGAGATACTCCTGGCACTTGCTGACTATTCTATAATAGTAAACTTTGCAATTCCCCTCACAGAGTGTCCTCTGCATGCCTTCATTTGGGTGAAGACATTGCCCTTCTCAGAGAAGAGTTAGTGTTCCAGCCCCCATTTGGGCCCTATGATATCCCACAGTACTGGTGAGAAAGACAAACTGTGTCTGCCCCCAAGGCACCACTCATTTTTCTCCCTTCTGCAAATCCAGAGAGAATCTTCCCTCTAAGAGGTGCTGCCTAGATGTTAGTAGGCCATCCTCTACACACACACACACCATCATCATTATCATTCAAGTCCCTTCTACTAAGGGAGCAGTGGGTTGCATCTTCTGCCTAATTATGACCTTAAAAGCATCTCCTTTTATCTGACATCTTGCTTAGACAGGTCAATGCAGCCACTTACCAGTGTGCTTTCTGCTGTGCATCTGTAAATGGGACAACTTAAAGTATCGTTTGTTACAGCCGGGGTATGCACACATGAAGGGACGTTTTTCATTCGTCTCACTTGCTGATCGGACAATAGTTGGAGCTACTCCTGGCACTCGCCGAACATCCTACAAAGGCAGAAACACCAGTGAACACAGCTAATGCAAGTGCATAGAGACATGAGGCTGCTCCCATTGTAATCAATAGAAACACTCAAACACACTTTATCATGAGTAGGATACTCTAATGTAGGAAAATGATCATTTTTGTATTCTGTTAAAGTATAACAATGTTCCTTCACCTTTTCCATGTACAGCATTACAGTTATATGAAAGTAAGTTATATATCCCAAATTCCCTCTAATATTTATATCTAAGATTAAATGGACCAAGTTCTGAACTAATTTCCAATAACATAAATGTAGAGTAACCCCCATTAGCATCAATGTGCTAATTTCAGAGTTAGACCAGCTAACGGAGATTAGAACCTGACCCAGAGAAACTTTTTTAATTTCTAGCTTGTAAAATTAAGTTAAGTTAAGTTAAGATCCAAAATGTCAATGAAATGTCTTACTACAACAGAAAAAAATTATTCTTATATGCTGCTGTGTGTTGACACCTTGTCTATACAATGGCACTGCCAGAGTGCTCCAACCAAGAGGGTAATAATTAAGTGTTAACTGCTCAGTTATGCCAAGGCATTTCAAATGTAACATACAGTATGGGACCCATCAGTATTAATGTTATAACCACTTATAAATGGGTGAGATTCAACCCTCCTGGATTTTATGGCACTTTCAGATATTCAACTGGCAGTTTAGCCATTATGATGTGATCGCTTAGTGTGCTTCTGTCTTCAGGGAATGATGTTCAAATTGTTACAATTTTATGAATGCACACATTCAAATCTTCAGGACACCTCATTGTTGCTCAGTCTACTATAATTACAGTAAAACTTATGGGATTAAAATTACTAAATACTCAAACTTTCAAGTGATATGAGAGGGCTCCATTTTTTGGCTGTTCTAAAGTTAGTGAAAAACGTAGCTCCAAAGATATGTCATAGAAGGAAAAATATATGATTTTTCATACTACAGCTTTTGCAGAAGTGATCTTATCTTTTTCTTCAGTGAAATCAGAAGCAACTTATTTCAGAAGTGTCTTAATGACCCAGGAACCGTATAGTTACCAACAGAATTATAAATACCAATAAAATAATCACTAAGTACTATAACTGGAAAATTAGTAATTCTGCTTCCTCTATGTAGAATGTCCAGATATACTTACTTGTATTCCTCTAAAGACTCCATGGGTGTGTATTCTATATTGGGCCCCACAGCTATATAACATAGGCCCAGTATGGTTGTCATTCTCATATCCCGTTGCATGGCTGCAGATAAAGAGGGGAACAATGCATAGGGTTAAATATTTTTAGCACATAGCTCCAAGCAAGAGGCTTTGTTTTTAATATGATTATATATTTTTAGGTTTTGATTTGGTAGTCAGGTGATCCATTCTCATATGAAAATTACTGTAAAAAGGATTCCTCTTTCACTACATGGGTCAGATCATGATTATCACATTTCCTGCACAATGCATTGACTCAATAACATTAGTTGCATCTATTATTGCGCAATAAATACCATCCAGGAAAAAAGGAGTATTGTCATGGTTTAAAGTGTGATGCATGACCACAAAGATGTCAAGTTTATGTTCCTGTTTTTTTTTCCTTATGTGCATATGTGCAAGTTATTTATCAGCTAAATGCCGTGCTGGCTATTGCTAATATCTTTGGAATGAGCAAAATGCCTCAAGTTTCACATTAAGTACAGTGGATTTTGTCAGCACCTCATGACTCAGATATTACCAGATAATACTGAGAAAGTGATGACATTTATAAGAATAGCAGTCGTGTACTCATACATACAGATTACAAATCAGTGTTCTAACCATCTAACCCACATATCAGATTACAAGATGCACTGTAGTTTAACTCTTTGTAAAAATCAACATATGCTAACCACAAAGGGGATGATCCTCAGTTGGTGTAAATTATCAAGATTTTCCAGGCAGCAGCAAGGCAACATTTAATATAAATATTTTTTCACAACTATTTCCCGGTGTAATTCAGTAAAATGTTTTGTTGTGCAGAAAGGTAGAAACACTGATGGATCTTTCCACTTGACCATCTCACAGTTATTAAAATGATGCATGTACACTGCAATTTTTAGTTCTGAATGAATAGTCATTTGTGTTAATAAATTAAGAGCATCAGGTGTTTAAATTTCAGTATCCTGAACATTCAAAATCTCCAGGAGTGGAGTCCAGAGAGACACAATGAGGAACAGCACAGATAAATAAAAAATTGTAATCCTGAGGCAAGCCTAGAATAATTGTCACCACAATTACAGTCTATTGAAAAGGAAAGAAGGTCCCTTTGAAAGAAAGCAGTCTATATAAAGGTCCAGCCTTTCAAATTATTTACAAGAACAAACAATGGAATTGTGGGACATAAAAATCTAAAAGTATCATGAATTTGACCAAAAGGGGAGAGGTTTTTTTAGTACGTTATACGTGTAAAATGTATTGCATTCTTCTTTAGTAGTTGGTCCATGCAGACATTAGCAATCTACTTCTGCCACCTAACAGAAGGGGTATATTTACACAGCAGGGCTAAACTCAAAATAAACTACGCAATAAACTATAGCTTATTTCAAATGTGGGCATGTCTACACAGCACTCATTTTGAAATAGAGCACTCTTCCTCCGACTTCCCTTACTCCTCATACAATGAGGGTTACAGGAGTCAGAGTTAGAAGCCCATTATTTTGAATTTATTTCAATATAACAGACTTGATGTGTAGACATGCAATACGTTATTTCGGAATATAGCCACTCTCCAAGTTACAAACAAGTTACAGACCAACACTTGGTCCATAACTCAAAGTGTTCGTAACTTGGATTCCATAGTTACATGGAGACCGCGCTGTTCGTAAGCGCGGATCGCTGTTCGTAACTTGGATCTGCATTTACAACTGCTTTGGTCATAAGTGTGGATGGTAGCAAGTTGATGTGGTGGTAACTCGGGGAGTTGCTGTAACGTCCGTTATTCTGAAATAACACTGCTATGTAGATATAATCAAGAATTCCTTTGGCTCACATGGACAAATCTAAGGGGTTCAAACACTGCTGATAGCACCCTCTTCTAATTGCACTAAACCCAAAGGAAAGCTTCCAGTACCCATGCAAAACCTCTTTCTTTGACTTTCTTTTTCTGGAGGCTTCTCGCCACAAAATTCCTAATTGGGTATTCCATTAACAGCCTTTTTTAGCCAACTGTTCAGGTTAGTGTTGTGCAACAATTACCTCCCTAGAAACCACAACTAGCTTTCTTGAAAGGAAGCCAGATTTTTACTTTAATTTTTTTTTTCCCAGGGCCAAATCTGCAAAGCTCAGGCATGACATCCTTGGCTGTGCAGGTCAGGTCAAAAGTGACACAGCAAGTGTTTCACTGCTCCACAAATTCTACCACGGGTGTGATTTTTCCTAGCTCTGAAAGGTTAGATTTTTTTCAAGAATACCAGCCCTGCTGGAAGCAAAGGGTTGAAAACTAGACCTCAGAAGAAAGTAGAAGTTTATTGTTTTTTTAAATTTCACAATGAAACAGGCTAAAAGAATAATTATATTCCATCTGTAGCACTGTGTATAAGTGTGGTGGGTAATTTTAGTAGCAGCTAGGGACAGTAAATGAATTCTGCCTTCACAATAAACATGGCATATAGCATTATCCCACAAACAAGATTCTGCTGGTTCTATTTCTACAAGTGTAACAGGCACAACTTACTAATTAGTAAGGATGGATGATCTGACCCTAGATGATTGTAATAATCTAACTTTGGGGGCACTTTCTGGAAGTCTATGGAACTATTGGTACAGTAGTAATAGATGGTCACAAATTGAGCCCATAGCTGCTGCGTTGAATCGAAATCTGACTCTGCATGGATAGGGACTGTCGTACAGCTTGTTGAAACTGATTGATTTCCCACGTCTGTCCTTCTCACTAGCTTCCTTTTGTTACAAGCAAACATAAGGCACACCAAGCTATGTTCTGCACTGTGAAAATTTTAATACACCCATAATATACATAGCATACACACTAGAATGTGGACGATTCCGTGGAAGAACTATTGTCTGGCAGCCCTCTACAGCTTCTCAGGCTTTCCAAAAACTACAGAATCATGACTTCTGGTTTCATTTCAAAAAGGAGACGGCAATTATAGGAAAGTCCAAGCTCCATGAGCAATATAAGTCAATAGTGAGCTCAATCATGCAGTACACTAAAATAATTACAAATACACATCTTTTGGCTGGAGATTTTTTTTTAAGTGAGAAATTCTTTGACTTTAAGCTCTTTGGAGCAGGGACTATATTTACCCGGATGAGCAGGCAATGCCTAGTACATTGTGACCTCTAAAGACAAGTAAAAATATTAATTCAGAATAAATAAATCATGTGTTCTACTTATTTACCAAGGGATCACCTGTCCCTTAATAGACAGACGGTTTAAAACAAATGAAAGGTATTTCTTCACACAATGTTCAGTCAACCTGTGGAACTCTTTGCCAGAGGATGCTGTGACAACCAGGACTTAAATAGGGCTCAAAAAAGAACAAAATAAATTCATGGAGAATAGGTCCATCAGTGCTTATTAGCCAGAATGGGAAGAAATGGTGTCCCAACCCTCGGTTTGTCAGAGGCTGGAAATGGGTGACAGGAGAGGGATCACTTGACAATTGCCAGTTCTGTTCATTCCCCCAGGACACCAGTGGAATTGGTCACTGTTGGAAGACAGGATACTGGGCTAGATGGACTTTTGGTCTGACACAGAATGGCTGGTCTTATGTTATGTTCCTACATTTCTGTAATCTATATTATTTTGCATCTGAGCTAAATGAAAAAATAGGATTAGGATTTAAAATAAAGCAGCTGTGATTGAAGCTAAGATGTTAATTGTAGAGTAGGAAACTGGAATCAAGAATTCTGTGCAAAAAATAAAATAAAAAGGAAAAATTTGTTTCCCCTGTGTAATGTCTAAAGTCATATTTATGACTGATAGGGGAAATGCTGAGAAGAGCCAAGACAGAACAAAGCCAGATGCAGTTAAACGCTGTTGTCAGAACAGTGCTATTTTAGTGATACAGGCAAAACCCTACAGGAGTTCCCGATTGAGTAAAAACAGCAGGATTTGACTCTTAAAAAGAGTCCCAATTCTGTGTCCATTGGTGAATACAGAATTCCCTTGGACTTCAGTTGGAGTTACAAAAATCTATCCAAAGGCAGAATTGGACTATAAACATTTAGAATCCATCAAGTTGGTTACTGAGATGGCCCCATACATATATTGCCTTTAGTTCTAGGCAGTCAGCTGCAGACCTGGAAAAAATGCATAAAATGTAGCTCCATGTTTCTGCAAAACAAAGAATGATACTTGCAACATAAAATGCTAAGCAAGTGCTATTATTGTGGAGCAGTTAGAAACATTTGCCTTTAGCATTAGGCCAGAAAATCCTTAACACCTAGAAAGTAGCTCTTTTACAATGATTAATCTCAGCACTGTACAGATTGTATAGAGATTAATAAATATGAAGGTTTTACAGATGAGAATGTGTGATGAAAAACAGAGCAGCTTTAGAGAGTTGTACCAATACAAGAGGTTCTAAAAAAAAACCTCATAAAAGATTACTTTCTAATCTGAATATTTTAAAAAACCCACAACCTGCAATTTCTCTCTCACACCAACCTTACTTTGTTACGCTAGCACTATCTGATTAATTTACAACTAGCCTCAACTTAAAACCGGAGAGTTGAGCTTGATGTTTTTTATTATTATTACTACATATGACTAAAAAAGGGAAGTTGTAGGGCACATTGAGAAGAGCGAGCAAATATCAGCATGAAACATGAATGCATGTTGACTCAGATTCAGATATGGAAGAACAAAAAAAATCAGAAGGAAACATTATACAAAACAGGCAAATTAAGGTGCAAATTACTAATGTTTCAATGCAAGAACTGGAATATTTTGGATGTAGAAACAGACAAAAATTAGGCAGAACAAAGGGTGTGGTCAGTCCATGTGATAACAGGACAGAAAAGAAATACAGCTAATTTCCTTTGCTAAAATATTTACCACCCGAACATTATGGGAAATGCATGCCATTGCTGAGGCAATAACGAGAAGTCTGAGGAATTACATAGATGATGTTTCTCCCCATTATTGGCAGTAATGTTAGTAAGCAGGAGGGAAGCATAAAGTTGCTGCTTTATCTGTATTCGCCAAGGCAAATGGACATTAGAGAGTTCATTTCACTGATTAGGGCCCAGTGTTCA